CGAAGTCTCTTGGGGGCCCGCAGGGGGCCTCCCTGTGGCCCCTTGGGAACTCATTGGGGCTTCCGGGGGGCCTCTTGGGAGCCTCACGGGGCTTCTTGGGAGCCTCTTGATGGCCTCCGGGGGCGTCCTAGGAGCCTCTCAGGCTGGAAACCTTGAAATGTCGCGCTCTTCGGGCCCTCTTGGGTCGCTCTTGGGGCTCTCTTGGGGCGCTCTCGAAGCCCTGTTGAATTATCTGGGGAGCCTCCTGGGCCGTCTCTGGTTTTTCTTGTGAGCCTCTTCGGCCGTCTTGGAGCGATCTGAACGGCCTCTGACGCCGTCCGGGACCGTGGGGAGGCGGAACATGCGATAACGCAAAAATGCGGGGCCCTGCGGAGGGGCCTCTGGAGGAGCTCTTGGAGCGTTTTGGCGGCGTCGTCGGCCGTCCTGAGGCCATCTTCGGCGTGTCCGGGGCCTCTTGAGGCTGTCTTGGCAAGCTTTAGGTCCCTCTTGGCGTGTCGTGGCGCGTTTGGGAGCGGACCTGGGCAGTCCCGGGAGCGCTGGGGGCTGTTGAATGCTAGGTGTTGTCTTGGAGGCGGAGGCTGTTGAGTGCAGGGTGGCGCGTGCTACGCGGAAGGCGGGCGAGCGGCCAGGCGGGCGGCGGGCGGGCGGGTGGCGGGCGGGCGGGCGGGTCGGGATTTGAATGATTCCTTAAGGGTGCTCTCTTGCAGCGGGAGCTTGTTGAGCACAGGGTGTTGCCTTGAAGACGGGGGCTGTTGACTACAGGGTGTTGTCTTGGAGACTGAAGCTGTTGAGTACAGAGTGGTGCGTGCTACGCGGACGGCGAACGGGCGGCGGGTGCCCTAGGTGGTGGGTCAGAGGCCTCATGGGTGTTGGTTTGGATCTCGTGGTTGGCCTGTCGGGAACGTCGTGAACGCAGTTTCGCATCTTCTCGGTGACCGTTTTGGGGCCGTAGTGGGGCCTCCTCGGGGCTGTTTTGTGGCCTTTTGAAGCCTCGTTTGGGCCTCCTGGGTGCCTCTCGGGGGCCTCCTGGGGCCTCTTGGGGGCTCCTTGGGGCCTCCTGGGGCACTCTTCAAGCGGGAGGGTCGAATTTTGGATTCGTGGTTCCCTCTTGGGCGCATCTTGGGGCCGTCTTGGGGCTCTCTTGGGCTGTCTTGGGCGCTTCTGGGGTCGTCTGGGGGCCCTCTTGGGCCGTCTTTGGGCGCTCTTGGGGGCCTATTGGGCCGTCTTGGAACGTCGGACAGCCGAAAAGGCTAAATCTCTCCAAAACCTTTTGAAAAATTACCGATTTCGGCCACTTGAAGCGCTCTGGAGAGGCCGGAGCACTGGACCCAGGACCCCCCGAGGAGCCTCCGAAATTCGAAGGGCGACAAGAACATCGGCGGGAGGCGAGCCGAGAAGTCGAAGGGGCGAACGCGGTCCCGAGGGGCGACCGGGGCGGGGACGGCGTCGACGACGACGACGCCGACGACGGCGACACCGCCGACGACGGAGAATTCTCTCTGGGATCCGAGGGCCTCTGCGCTGGCCCGGGGCGGGATGTGCCACCGCAGGAGGGCCACGGCGCGCATGGCGTCCAGGAGGCCGTTTTCTTGGACCGGCGGCGGCGGCGGTCCGAAAATCGGCTCGTCCGCACCGTCCGTTGTAAGGTTCCTCGGGGCTGTTTGGGAGCCTCGTGAAGCCTCGTTCGGGCCTCCTGGGTGCCTCTGGGGGGTCTCCTGGGGCCTCTTGTGTCCCCTTTGGGGCCTCCCGGGGCCCTGTGGAGGCGGGAGGCTCGAATTTCTGGTTCGCGGTTCCCCTCTTGGAGCCCTCTTGGTGCCGTCTTGGTCATCTCTTCGCCCGTCTTGGGCGCGTCTTGGGCCGTCTTGGGGCCCTCCAGAGCCGTCTTGAGGGCCTCTTGGAGGCCTCTTGGGCTGTCTTTGGGCGTCCGCGGGGGGCCTGTGAGCCGTCGTGGAGCGTCGGAAAGCTGAAAAGGCGGGAAAGGCAACATGTATCCAAAACCGTTGTAAAATGAGCGATTTTGGCCTCTTGGGGCCCTCTGGGGGGGCGGCCTCTTGGAGGCCTCTTGGAGCGTCTTCGGGGCCTCGTTGGCCGTCTTGGGCTTATCTTGGGGGTCTCCTGGGGCCTCTTGGGGCCCGGTTCGCAGTTCCCCTCTTGGGGCCCTCTTGGGGCTGTCTTGGACCTCTCTTCGCCCGTCTTGGGCGCGTCTTGGGCCGTCTTGGGGCCCTCCAGAGCCGTCTTGAGGCCCTCTTGGAGGCCTCTTCGGCTGTCTTGGGGCGTCTGCGGGAGGCCTGTGAGCCGTCGTGGAGCGTCGGAAAGCTGTAAAGGCGGGAGAGGCAAAATGTGTCCAAAACCTTCGTAAAATGCACGATTTTGGCCTCTTGGGGCCCTCTGGGGGGGCCTCTTGGAGGCCTCTTGGAGCGTCTTCGGGGCCTCTTTGGCCGTCTCGGGTTTATCTTGGGGGTCTCCTGGGACCTCTTGGCGCCTCTTTGGGGCCTCCCGGAGCCCTGTGGAGGCGGGAGGCTCGAATTTCCGGTTCGCGGCTCCCCTCTTGGAGCCCTCTTGGGGCCGTCTTGGTCCTCTCTTCGCCCGTCTTGGGCGCGTCTTGGGCCGTCTTGGGGCCCTCCAGAGCCGTCTTGAGGCCCTCTTGGAGGCCTCTTGGGCTGTCTTTGGGCGTCCGCGGGGGGCCTGTGAGCCGTCGTGGAGCGTCGGAAAGCTGAAAAGGCGGGAAAGGCAAAATGTGTCCAAAACCTGTGTAAAATGCACGATTTTGGCCTCTGGGGGCTCTCTGGGGGGGCCTCTTGGAGCGTCTTGGGAGCCTCTTTGGCCGTCTTGGGCTTATCTTGGGCATCTTGGGGCCCTCTTGGCGCCCTTTATGCGCCTTTTGGAGCCTGCTGGGCCTGTCGCGGAGCGCTCTTGGGGCACTCTTGGGCCGGACAAGGGCGCTCCCGGAGGCCCGATCCCCCCATGGGGGGCTGCGGTCCTGGCCAGGGAGCCCCCCGCCCTGTAGCCCGGTATATCGGGTGCGGGAATGCCCGAACACCCGTCTCTCTCTCTCTCTCTCTCTCTCTCTCTCTCTATATATATATATATAGATATATATCTTTCTCTCTCTCTCTCTCTCTCTCTCTTTCTCTTTCTCTGTATGTTGTATATATATATATATATATATATATATATATATATATATATATTGTATGTTATCAGAACGGTTTTCCTGGCCAATGCGTCTGAGCCGCAGAGGGTGAAACACCTCGTCTGTCCAGTGGTGCCTAGACGCGCCCCGTCCTGGGCTCGTCTCTCCAGTCTCCCTGGGGCTCCGCGGGCTTTTTGGCTGAAGCTCGCTTCGCTCGCGCGGTCCGTATGCGGCAGTTCTTCGGTGCTGGATCGCCGCTGACCGTGCTGGTCAGCCGTGCCGCCTCCTGGGTATCGCCAGGAGTGTTCGAGGACTTCGCGGATTGCGCCCTGCATCACGCTGTCTTTGGGGGCGCCCCGACACTGGGCCTCGTGTGCCTTCTGATCGGCATCATCATCGGCTGGTGCTCGCGCGGCTGTATCTATGGAGTCTGGTAGGCGGCTCGAGTCCTCTTTCTTGACCTCAGGAGCACGCGTCCTGGTGAAGTATCAGGGAGAGCGGGAGTGGCACGAGAGGCTTCGGGTTCGTCCAGCGAGCAGGAAGATCTACAGTCAGTACGCTGGAGAGGACCCCTCCCCCACCTCGAGGATTTCTGGTGGATCGTCACTCCAGACATGGACGTGCATCCGGAGGCGCTGGAGATCGGTCCCTTCTCAGGGCTCGCAGCCCTCCACAAGAACGGCTCTCAAGTGGAGGGGAGCCTAGTGGGGTCAGGGTCTTGCCTCTCTCACGTGCACGGCTTCGACGGCCTGCCGACCTTCGTGGAGATGAACGAGATCCTTGGCGAGTGCGAGGCTGAGGAGGGCGACCGCCGCGAGATCCCGATTGCCGACGGTGGGGACCAGCTGGTCGCCGCAGGGTTCGCCGGGGGCTCGGGGGTGCTTCCTAAGCCCGGCCGCGGCGCCTGGAGGGCTCTCGCCCGCCTCGCGCGGGGGCCTTCGAGGGGATGTCGGAGCCGTCGAGTGGGACCAGTACGTGTTGGCGGAGAGCCTCGGCCTGGGTCGCTCTGGTGGCGAGTTTGTGCTATTCAAGTGCTTCAACGATGAGGGTCACGGCATGGGTGATCTTGTCGACTTCGAGGAGCGTCCCGAGGTCGGGGGCACGTCTACGCCCTGCGAGCTCGACGCTCGACTGCTGACCGTGACGCGTGACGGGAACGGGATCCGCTTCAAAGATTTCAGAGAGGGTGTGAACCAGATCTCCAGCTCGGACTGGGGTGGGTGGCCGCTCTCTGGTCCTCGGACTGCGCAGTGGTGCTGCAACTACATCCCCCAGACGGACGGCCACCCTCGCGCCGGCCACACTCGATGGAAGAGGGATGCGGGCCTAGGCTCTGGGGACATCGGAGTCGCAGAGCACGAGGTCGCGATGCGCTGCCTGGGGAATGCGATCTCCTACGACCAGCTCAACGCGGGCGAGCTCGCTCGCGTGGAACTATTGCTCAGGCGGGCCCAGCTGTCGGAGCTGAAGCACAAGGGGCGCCTGCTGCAGGTGGATGTTGCCAACGACTACGGCGCCGACGAGTGCCTGTACATGGGCACGAACGCCACGAGGGGCCAGGTGATGGTGGCGCCCGAGCTCGAGGAGTTCGTGTCGTCACAACTTCAGAAGGAGGGGTCCGTGCTGAAGGAGAGGAGGGAGCTCATGGAGGAGCGCTCGTTGCTTCGCCCCGCGCCCGGCTCTGGCGACACCACAGCCGACGCCGCGGCCGCCAAGAGCAAGGCCAAGAAGGGCGGCGGCAGAGGCGAGGGGGCGGGGTAGCCGCTCCAGTTCACCTCGGCTTGTGTGCCCGGCTTGGCTGCTCGACCTTGCTGGGTTTCTGACAGAGCAGGCTGCGCGACGCAGCCAGCACCTCGTGGGCTTCCCCATGAACGTGCCTCGGGAGCTCTTCCCTCTTCCTCTTCCATTTCCTGATTCCAGTGGCAACGACTTCCTGGACAGCTCGGCTGCTTGCCGCGCGGTCCGTCGACGAGCCAACGCGAGTACTAATTGGCGTTTGTGGGCCAACGAGACGACGAGGAGCCTCAACCGCGTGCACGGCTGCTCGGACTTCGACTCGACGGTCTTCAAGCCGTCGGTCGGCCAGCTGAAGATTTTGGAGCGGATCTCCGATCTGGTGGCATCAGCTGGCCCTCCGTCTTGCACTTCCGCGGAAGCTTTTCATGAGCTCTGCGGCGCCCGAGCGGGGCCTGGTTGCGACCTGGTCGACGCCCCGAGGGCGAGGTACCAGCCAGGGTTGGTCTCGTTGCCTGATGAGGGTGGCTTGACCGACGGCAGTGCTTGCTTACGTGGTGCTGCGCATGGCTTCTGGTGCCGATGGCAGGAACTCGTCTTGGCGAAGGAGCCGGCCTCTGATGACAGTGTCCCCGAGAAGCCTCATTCGGACTCTGCCTTTATTCACAATAAGTGGGAGTGCGCTAGATTTTGCTCATCGTTGTTCAACGCGAATATGTTGGAGGTTGGTGACTGCGAGGAGCCGACTGTCGGAGTCTTCTTTGCGCTGAAGAAGGATCGCTCTCTTAGACTTATCCTGGACACTCGGTGCGTCAACAGCCTCTTTGTGAAGCCGAAGCACACACACATTTACCATCGCCAGCGGCGTGGGCGGCCGTCCGCACTAGGGCTGACGCTCCACTCTACCTTGCTCAGATGGACGTCAACAACGCCTTTTTCAGAGTGCGGACACCTCCTGGGCTCAGCAAGTTTTTTTCGGTTGCCGCCTGTCGACGTGGACGCCCTGCGAGCAGTGAATCCTACTGCAGCCCAGGGCCTCTCGGGCAAGAGGGCCACCCCGCGCCTATGCGTGCTTGCTATGGGCTGGTCTTGGTCATTGTACTTCTGTCAGGAGATGGGGAGCACGGCCGCAATGTCTGCTGTATTCTTGGATTCGGACATGCTGCTGGACAAGCGCGATAGCCCCAACTTTCGGGAGCTTCGGCTGAGCACCACCAAGGCCGCCGTCTATGCGGACAACGTCGGCGTCTTCGGTCAGGACAAGTCCAGCGTCGACAACCGGAGCCAGGGTCCTCTCTGCTCTGGAGCGCGCGGGATTGGCCTGCAAGGGCGTCGAGCGCGCTGGGGGCCAGCAGGAGTTCACTGGCCTTGTGATAGACTCTACCTAAGGCGCCATTTCTGTCACACCGAAGCGTTTGTGGCGCGTCCGCCTGGCGTGCCTGCATGCGCTGGGCCTTGGTCGCCTGACGGGAAAGGAGCTCCAGCTGCTGGTGGCCCACTTCACTTGGGCTGGTCTGATGAGAAGGGAGCTCCTCTCGTTGCCTCATGCCTGCTATCGTTTCATCGAGGGGGCCGGCGAGTCCAGGTGGAAGCTCCGGAACTCAGCGAGGGCAGAACTCCGCATGATGTGCTCGCTGATCGTGTTCGCCTCTACTGACACGCGGCGGCCTTGCAGCCCTGTGATCACCGCTACCGACGCATCTACTGGGGAGGACGGCACCGACTTCGGCGGCTTCGGCGTGGTGCAGCGGGAGGTCTCAGTAGCTGAGGCTAGCCGCGCCTGCCGCATTGCTGAAGGGTGGCGCTTCCTGGTGGAGGACGCTGTGGCGGCTCGTCGTCACGCACTGGAGGCTTACGAGTTCGCCGTTGCCGCTAGCGCTCTCGAGGGCGAGAAGATCGACGACGCCAACTCGGAGGAGGGCTTGCCCAGCGGCGGCCGCATCTTCGAGGAGATCCCCCTCGACCTTGCTGGGCAGCAGGACGACTGGCAGTTGCGAGTCCGTGGCCGGTGGGGAGCTGATGAGCGCATTCTCCGATTAGAAGGGCGCGGGGCGATCGTTGGAGTCCGCCACGTGCTGCGATCCCTTGAAAACCATGGGCAGGATCATCTCTTTCTCGGTGACAATCTATCTCTCGTCCTTGCTCTGTCTAAAGGTCGCGCCGCAAATCCCGAGCTAAACCAGACATGCAGAGAGTCAGGCGCCTTGTCGATTGCTACCGGTTGTAAGTTTTTCTATCTTTGGGTCCCTTCGGAGATCAACTTCGCCGACCGCGGCTCTAGGCTCAAAGACCGCGGGCCTGTGCGGGCTCATCCAGACCTCCGCGATGTTGAGAAGCATGGGCCTCCCGCGGAGGGGGATTCCTCTCTCTCGGCGCTTCGACGAGCCGTCGATCAGGAGGCCAGGGGGCGGGGCCGCGAGGCAGGATCCTGCCAGAGGCGCCCCGAGCCAGGCCCGCCCAGTCGAGCCGCTGCCAGTGGACATGGTGATGCCGGACGGCGCGCCAGCGCGCAAGCGCCGACGCCAGCAGCGGCAGGCGGCGCACCTCGAGGGCGCCCGCCTCTGCAGAGAGCAGGGCGCCTTCTTCCTGGAGGTCAGCACCGTGCGCGGCGCGACAGCGGACCTCTACGACACCTACCTGGCCACCTTCGAGAGCTGGGCGGGCATCGGCATCCGCGAGATGATGGACGGAGCGCTAGACACCTACCTGCTGGACTACTGGGAGCACCTTCTACTTCGAGGGCGAGAATCACTCCACAGCCTCCAAGCTCCTGGCCGCGCTGGAGCACAGGTACCCGCAGCTCCGCAAGGGTTGCCCGGCCGCCCCCACTCGCGCTCGCCATGCGCTGCGGGGCTTTCGCCAGCTGGCGCCAGGCCGCAGCCGGGCGCCGCTTCCTTTCGTTGCTCTGATGGCGATGATCGGCGCAGCTCTCTCCCAGGGCCTGACGGATCTGGGCCTCGCCCTCTTCGTCTGTTTCATCGGTTACCTCAGGCCTTCGGAGCTGATCAAGCTAAAGGGCCCGCAGTTGGTTGCACCAGTTGCAGGCTCAGCGACACGGCATTGGATGCTGCTGCTGTCGCCAGCGGAGGAGAACGTCGGGAGCAAGACCCGCGAGTTCGACGAGAGCGTTGCCCTGGACTGGGACATCATCGAGGAGATCGCGCCGAGGCTGGACGAGCTGAAGCGCAGGGCCGGCCAGGGGAACCTTTGGAACTTCACGCAGCTTCAGTTCGCGGAGCACTTTCGGACTCTGGCGGAGCTCAGCGGAGTGTCTGTGCTTCGCCCACACCCTTACTGTCTGTGCCACGGAGGCGCAAGTTACGACAGCCTCACGAAGCGTCGGACCCCCGAGCAAATCAAGCGTCACGGGCGCTGGAAGGCCGACGCCAGTGTCAGCCGGTACAGCAAGCACGCGCGAGTGGCCAACGAGGCCACGAAGTTGCCTCTCGCCGCGCGCCGCTACGGCAACCTCATCCATCAGGACCTGGCGGCCTTCCTCAGGGGCGTGCGTTCGCCCCCGGAGCCCCCCGCTCTACCGCTGCAGCGCGCCCTCGTGCCGCATCAACGGCAGATTCGTTCATGGCTTAATTCACACCTTCGATATGCTAAACGACACGCTGGCTCGGCAACTGCATATCTGGACCTGTTCTCTGGTTCGGGCCGCACAGCCAGATACTTTGAAAGCATCGGGGGAGTGGGATGCATGAGGTTCGATGTGCTGCGTGGGCTAGAGTTCGATGTTACGAATCGCACCGTGCAGCAGATCGTCTTCGGGTGGATTAGGAGCAAGCAGATCCGCGGGGTTATCGGTGGGTTTCCGTGTGCTACTTGGTCGCGTGCTAGGCGCCCTCCTCTGAGGACCCGATCAGCCCTCCGTGGTGTGCTTGGGCTCTCTGGTCGTGACGCCGTCCAGCTCTGGGAAGGTAACTGCACGTTCGATTTCATGGTGAGTATGATTCGCCGCTGCATTCGGTTCGGTATCCCCATCATCGCCGAGAATCCCCAGTCGTCTCTCGCCTGGCTCGAGCCGTCGATGAATCGGTTGCTGCCCAAAGGGATCGAGATCGTCTGCGATTTCTGCATGTTTGGTATGCGTTGGCAAAAGAGAACTAAATTTGTGGGTTGGTCTGTGGTGCTGCCGCCGTCCGGTCTAGAGCGCAAGTGTGTTCCCGCTAAATCGAACGACCCCGCCATGTCAGTCAAGGTTTGCTGCCGTTCGGGTCTTCCTCACATTCATCTGCGAGGTCGTCAGCCGCGTTCTAACATCCACTGGGCCAAGATCGCTGAGCCATACCCGCTTCCCCTAGCCAAACTATTGGTACAGTGGATTGTCCGGTCTTGGGATTCGCACGGCCTCCAGCACCTTAAAGAACTGGTAGCATACCGCCGTTTGCGAAATAAACGCCCACGAGTGGAAGTACCGAGAGCCCCGCCCCGCGCCCCGTATTTCAATGTTGGCCACCAAATACGCCGAAGGGGAGTGCGAAGCGTTGCGAAATAAACGCCCACTTATGTTGGACTGCCCAGCCCTCCCCATCAACCTTGAAATGCGGGGGAAAGGGGGCGTGCTTCGTCGTCTTGTTTTCGACCCCTAAGATGGGCGTTTATTTCGCAAACGGCGGTGCCCCCACGAGCGTCTTATAATGGCCAGCGCTGTACATTCTCATATATACATATATATATATATATACATATATCTATACAAACATATATATATACATACATATGTTGTATGTGTATATAGACGTGTATACATAAGTGTGTCTGTACAATCTATTTACACTTCCATATGCCTTTCCCCTATGCTTGCATACACCCATGCATACACGTACGTGCATGCATGCATTCACGCCGTCACGCAATGCGAGGCCATTCGCGCGACGCCACCCGCGCGGAACCGTCCGGTGGCGACACACCGCTGATGACCCCCTTTACTCTCCCATGCAGCTTCCGTCTACTCTGCCTCGCACTTCTACCCCTTCGAGGCGTCATTTCCGCGCAGCGGCGAGGGCGCCATTCCGACCGGCGACCCGAACACGGCGACCTTCGCCCACGACCCGCGCTCGCGACCTGCGACACGACGCGCGCCCCGCGCCCGCCACCCGTCTACGATCCGTCTGGCCTGGCGGCCCCAACTAGAGCCCCAACTAGAGCACAACCTAGAGCACAACCTAGAGCACAACCTAGAGCACAACTCATGAAGGTATATATTTTCATAAAAAATGACACTCAACCTTCCAAAAACAAGCAAGAATCTATACTTTCTTTATTTTCGAACGCGAATGCGTGCCAGACTACCATGAAATGAATTGTGCTCTAGGTTGTGCTCTAGGTTGTGCTCTAGGTTGTGCTCTAGTTGTGCTCTAGTTGTGCTCTAAGGCGGCCCCTGGGATAAGCGGTCGCCTGCCCCCCCCGCCCCCGGACCTTCAATCCGACGGACATGGCGTTGCTCCGTGCACCCCATGCAGCCCTGTAGCCATGTAGCCCTACAGCCCAGCAGCCATATAGCCCCATTGCCCCATGCCCCTATAGCTATATGGCCCCATAGCCATATAGCCCAATAGCCATATGGCCCTGTAGCGCTATAGCCCTGTAGCCCTATAGCCCCATGGCCCTATATCCCTATAGCCCATGTAGCACTATAGCCCTACAACCCTATAGCCCTGTAGCCGGGTATCCCTACATCCCTATAGCCCCATAGCCCTATAGCCCTATAGCCCTATATCGCTATAGCGTATCAGCCCTATACCCTAATGGCCCTATAGCCCCATAGCCCTGTTGCCCCGTAGGCCTATATCCCTACAGCCCTGCAGCCCCATAGCCCTGTAGCCCTAACCCTATAGCTCTATAGCCTCATACCCCTATAGCCCGCGAGCCCAATTGCTCAGGAGCCCTATACCCTATAGCCATATAGCCCCAGAAAAGAACTGAGTGGGGGTTCTCTCCCGTATCAGTCATACACATATACATATACACGCGCCTTCAGAAGCACTGGAAGGGGCCAGTCGCGCAACGCAACCCATGCAGATGCCCGCAAAGCGCAATGGCAAATGAGTCCGCCGTTTGCGAAATAAACGCCCACGAGTGGAAGTACCGAGAGCCCCGCCCCGCGCCCCGTATTTCAATGTTGGCCACCAAACACGCCGAAGGGGAGTGCGAAGCGTTGCGAAATAAACGCCCACTTATGTTGGACTGCCCAGCCCTCCCCGTCAACCTTGAAATGCGGGGGAAAGGGGGCGTGCTTCGTCGTCTTGTTTTCGATCCCTAAGATGGGCGTTTATTTCGCAAACGGCGGTGCCCCCACGAGCGTCTTAGAATGGCCAGCGCTGTACATTCCCACATACATATATACATATATAAATATATATATATATATAGATACATGTATACAAACATATATATATATATACATACATATGTTGTATGTGTATATAGACGTGTATACATAAGTGTGTCTGTACAATCTGTTTGCACTTCCATATGCCTTTCCCTTATGCTTGCATACACCCATGCATACACGCACGTGCATGCATGCATTCACGCCGTCACGCAATGCGAGGCCATTCGCGCGACGCCACCCGCGCGGAACCGTCCGGTGGCGACACACCGCTGATGACCCCCTTTACTCTCCCATGCAGCTTCCGTCTACTCTGCCTCGCACTTCTACCCCTTCGAGGCGTCATTTCCGCGCAACGGCGAGGGCGCATTCCGACCGGCGACCCGAACGCGGCGACCTTCGCCCACGACCCGCGCTCGCGACCTGCGACACGACGCGCGCCCCGCGCCCGCCACCCGTCTACGATCCGTCTGGCCTGGCGGCCCCAACTAGAGCACAACCTAGAGCACAACTTAGAGCACAACGCCCTAGATCCCTATAGCCCATGTAGCACTATAGCCCTACAACCCTATAGCCCTGTAGCCGGGTATCCCTACATCCCTATAGCCCCATAGCCCTATAGCCCTATATCGCGATAGCGCATCAGCCCTATACCTTAATGGCCCTATAGCCCCATGGCCCTGTTGCCCCGTAGGCCTATATCCCTACAGCCCTGCAGCCCCATAGCCCTGTAGCCCTAACCCTATAGCTCTATAGCCTCATACCCCTATAGCCCGCGAGCCCAATTGCTCAGGAGCCCTATACCCTATAGCCATATAGCCCCAGAAAAGAACTGAGTAGGGGTTCTCTCCCGTATCAGTCATACACATATACATTTACACGCGCCTTCAGAAGCACTGGAAAGGGGCCAGTCGCGCAACGCAGCCCATGCAGATGCCCGCAAAGCGCAATGGCAAATGAGTCCGCCGTTTGCGAAATAAGCGGCCACGAGTGGAAGTGCCGAGAGCCCCGCCCCGCGCCCCGCATTTCAATGTTGGCCACCAAACACGCCGAAGGGGAGTGCGAAGCGTTGCGAAATAAACGCCCACTTATGTTGGACTGCCCAGCCCTCCCCATCAACCTTGAAATGCGGGGGAAAGGGGGCGTGCTTCGTCGTCTTGTTTTCGATCCCTAAGATGGGCGTTTATTTCGCAAACGGCGGTGCCCCCACGAGCGTCTTAGAATGGCCAGCGCTGTGCATTCTCATCTATATATATATATATATATATATATATATTATATGTATATATACACATGTACATATATGTGTATACAAACATATATATACATACATATGTTGTATGTGTATATAGACGTGTATACATAAGTGTGTCTGTACAATGTATTTACACTTCCATATGCCTTTCCCCTATGCTTGCATACACCCATGCATACACGTACGTGCATGCATGCATTCACGCCGTCACGCAATGCGAGGCCATTCGCGCGACGCCACCCGCGCGGAACCGTCCGGTGGCGACGCACCGCTGATGACCCCCTTTACTCTCCCATGCAGCTTCCGTCTACTCTGCCTCGCACTTCTACCCCGTCGAGGCGTCATTCCCGCGCAGCGGCGAGGGCGCCATTCCGACCGGCGACCCGAACACGGCGACCTTCGCCCACGACCTGCGCTCGCGACCTGCGACACGACGCGCGCTCCGCGCCCGCCACCCGTCTACGATCCGTCTGGCCTGGCGGCCCCAACTAGAGCACAACCTAGAGCACAACCTAGAGCACAACCTAGAGCACAACCTAGAGCACAACTCATGAAGGTGTATATTTTCATAAAAAAATGGCACTCAACCTTCCAAAAACAAGCAAGAATCTACTTTCTTTATTTTCGAACGCGAATGCGTGCCAGACTACCATGAAATGAATTGTGCTCTAGGGTGTGCTCTAGGTTGTGCTCTAGGTTGTGCTCTAGTTGTGCTCTAAGGCGGCCCCTGGGATAAGCGGTCGCCTGCCCCCCCGCCCCCGGACCTTCAATCCGACGGACATGGCGTTGCTCCGTGCACCCCAATCAGCCCTGTAGCCATGTAGCCCTACAGCCCAGCAGCCATATAGCCCCATTGCCCCATGACCCTATAGCTATATGGCCCCATAGCCATATAGCCCAATAGCCATACGGCCCTGTAGCGCTATAGCCCTGTAGCCCTATAGCCCCATGGCCCTATATCCCTATAGCTCATGTAGCGCTATAGCCCTACAACCCTATAGCCCTGTAGCCGGGTATCCCTACATCCCTATAGCCCCATAGCCCTATAGCCCTATAGCCCTATATCGCTATAGCGCATCAGCCCTATACCTTAATGGCCCTATAGCCCCATAGCCCTGTTGCCCCGTAGGCCTATATCCCTACAGCCCTGCAGCCCCACAGCCCTGTAGCCCTAACCCTATAGCTCTATAGCCTCATACCCCTATAGCCCGCGAGCC